ATTTGACGGTACACGTAAAAAGAATACAATAAAAATTAAAAAAAAAACTAGTTACTATATATGGTTCATGTAATTTTGCATATATACATACATACATGCATAGAGATGTAGTTGTGTGCCATCAAGTCGGAACTGACCCTCTGGCAGACTTTCAGAGGCAGTAAGTCACATGGGAGGAGGCTGTCCATCTTTCTTCTGCAGAGCAGCTGGTGGATTCAAACCACACACCTTTGCGTTGACAGGACAAGTCCTTACCATTAAGCCACCAGAGCTCCATGTTGATACTTTAGTGACTGTTTCGCAGTGTGTTTAGTACAAGGATGGTAGTGGATTTTTTTTAATGCTTTTTCTCATCTTGAGTGTCCTTCAGGGTAAACGGAAGAAATAACCCCAGACTCCACTCAGTGACCATGGCTCGGCAGGAGCCCATGTCACCCTGTCCCAGGAACACAGCTTTCTGGTTTTCCTGCTTGATGTGGAACAGGGCCTACAGTAGTTAGAGGATTTAGTAGGATTTCCTAGCTGTCAAACCATTTATCAAGCAGAAAATATTGATCGGCCACTATGTGACAGGGGAAGTCTTAGTGAATGAATCATCTTGGCTCAGTGGATTAGCAGGAGAGTATTTGGGGACTTTATACTCCTAAACTCTAATATATTTTGGGTCATTTTTCCTTAATATTTTCCATAAGGATGTTTTTCCCACTTGCCTTTTCATGCTGCAGGTGCAAGCTTGTTGTAAAACCACCCAACAACCGTAATTTCTCTGAGCTAATATCTGATGAAGGTTTTTAGGTAAATGTCTTGTTCTGTTTTAAAGTTCTAGAAGAATCCTAGAAACTGAGTTGATTTTATGAACCATTTTGGGTTGTTTCAGGTTATGATTCCCAAAATCATTAACCCCTCACATTTAAAAATTCATCTAGCTTAAAGCATTTTTAAATAATTATATGTATTTAACTGCTTATGTAGAAAAGTTAACTCAACTATTAAAAAAACATGGTGAAAGTATTTTTTGAATTGCCAATGACTTAAGAGATTTTTCTTTCTTACTTGGCATTGTTGTAAATAATGTTTGCATCAAACTCCTATTCCTTTTCCTTTGCAATTTTCCCTGTTATTTTTGGCTGTGCAGAGGTTTCCTCTTCTTTGGAAGAAGCCACTTTTTACCCATGTAGCTCAAAAGATGTGTTTTATTTTAGTGTATTTTAAATTATTATTTCTCGAAGAATATTTTTATTCTGTAGTCATTTGGTTTTCCATGCTATGCACAGCCCAAATTGGGTTCCTTTTATTCATTAACTCCATAAAAGCCTTAACCATGAATTTTCAAATGTTCATGAATAAGTGTATTTTACTAGATCTCCAAATATGAATTTGTATCCTTTAAATAGGGAGCCTGGTGGCCTAGTGGTCAGAAGCTGTACTGCAATCCCGAAGGCATGCAGTTCAAATCCACCACCACCTGCTTCACAGGAGAGAGATAGACAGTCTCCTCCCATGCAATTAGCTGCCTTGGAAAACCCACTGGAGAGTCAGCTATGGGTTGGTTCCATCTTGACAGTGCATAACAACAACAATAAATGCTTTAAATCCTGTAAAAACACTGCAGGTGCCATAGGAGTGGTGGCATCGGACCCCTACTAACTCCACCAGGAGAATGTCCCTATCCACAGATCCACCCCAATCCCCACAAGGTCAGACATGCCCCAAGCACCTGCCCCTTTATCTCAGTCCTAACACAGACTATCCCTTCCTTACTCTGCTACTGGGTCCCAGCCTCTCTCACACAGGATTCTCTCACCCAGATGTAGGCACTACACTCTCTACTTTTCTTTCTTACTTGTAGCGATCCCATTTCTGCCTCTAATGTTTCGTGTAAGCCTGATGGAGTGGTTAAAGACTGACCCATCTTCTCATTAGTCTTCCACACACTTGTTTGTGTGTTCCCACCCAAAAACCTATGACAGAGATTGTGATGATGGTATAGGATGGGTAAAGGTACAGATCTCTTGTTCATATAGTCACTCTGAGTCTTGGTTAACTAGGCAACACCTAACACCTCAAAAAATGCTCACCTCATTCCCCTCAGTAGTGTAGTCCTACCTAGCCAAGGAGTGAGAGTCAAAGCAAATGTCGAGGAGAGCAATTTTGAACAGTCTACTGCCCCATACATGCTCATGCTGCCCTTTTAGACACTTAATGAATAAATAAATTTATTGCCTTTTGTTATTGTTGTTAGGTGCTGTAGAAGTGCACGTAGCTACACGTGGAGATTGGCTCTGGCTCTCACCCCTGGCTCTGGGGCAGTAAGGAGAGGGGATGCCCATTCCAGCTGCCTGTCCCACCACACTCACCTCAGGGACTTGCAGGTGCTGGCCAGAGTCAGTGAGGGGGATAGCCAGCTATGTCCCTGCTAGTGATAAATAGGCCCAGGGTCACAGCTCCTCCCAACATGCCTTCATCTGCCCACCGATGGGTGAGGAAAGGCTGATAGGGAGAGAAGGAGAGAGGAAGGGAAATGGCAGGGCCAGATAGGGGTCTTGGAGCTCAGGAAAGGACCACGTATAACCAGTGGAGGCAGAGCCAGTTCTTACCCGGCCCCTTGGCATTACCACATGGAGCCAGCCTGCCTCTCTCCTGTTCTTAATATGACATTTCCATTCAATCAAGTCACATAACATTTTATCTTAAAGAATGTCTTGTAGGCATTGAGAATACATGTCCGTACCACAAAAGATCATACTAAAAAATCTTATTGTTATGCAGTCAGAATCAACTCATAGCTGATCCTCCAGTGAGTTTCTGAGGCTGTGTTTGACTTGAGAAAAGACTGTCTGCCCGTCTTTCTCCCTCCAAGCCACTGGTAGACTCAAACCGCCAGAGACGCATGGGCCATTGGGTTTACAGCACAACTCCCTACAGACAGCATCGCCAGGGCTCCCTGGTAGCTCAGAGGGAGCAGTGTTTCTTCTTACTTCAGGAAAGTCAAACACAACAAAATAACTCACTTTACCAATGATTTACTCCCATTGTCTAGACAAGTTAGCAGTGGGAGTAAAGATCAGACAAGTGTTATTCACTGCCTTAATTGTCTTTGCCAATAAAATCTTGATTTGCCTGGAATTGGACATCTGAGTCAGTGAGTACACAGCCAGACTCCAGGTCTCATTGTCTTAGGCTTAGCTAAAATTTTGGATAACTCTTAGAGTCTTGAATGTTTTCCTTAGTTTATGTAACTCTCCTGCCTCCCCCCCCCTTTTTTTCCCTACAAGCTTTTTCTTAAAAAGAAAACTCAAGAAACATATTACTGTTGCCCATAAACATTTTGGATATCCTGGGGTACTACTTATTTCTCTTCTTTCCTTCACAGTTTGAACCCATTGAAAATACATACAAGGAGCCAGTTGCAGATGAAATAAGCTAAACTTTTTAAAACCTGTTCTCTTGTTACTGGGATATATCCCTTTTCTTCTTCTTCCCTCTCTCATATTCCATCATGTTGTGTGTCTTCTTTTCAAAAATAGTTTCCATCCGCCGTTTTTGTTTATCCCTTAGCTCACGAATGATGAGGAAATCCATAACGTTGGGACTTCGTTGACCTTCGGATTTGGCACATTGACCTGCTGGATCCAGGCTGCACTGACACTCAAAGTCAACATCAAAAACGAGGGGCGGAAGGTTGGCATCCCAAGAGTTGTTCTGTCAGCATCTATCACTCTCTGCGTGGTCCTCTGTATCCTTTGAATATGGAATACTCCTTTGCCAATGAGTTTTAAACTCAGATATATTGTCTGTGGAAAAGAGGAGAAAATGACTTGCCGCAGTGGGTTAGGAGTTGGTGTTATCAGATGATTTCAGAATCTTAGACAAAGTAAAGAAGTAAATAGGTATAAAAACAAAACCTTCCAGACATACTTTTGATGCCAGAGAGAGGACATAGAGAACTTTTTTTAAAAGAGAGGTCGAGAGCTTGACTCTCTCAAGATGAGTTTCTCTCTGTAGAAATTGTGCCATGCATTCTTCTTACCACTAAAAAATGTCAAAGTTCCCTTTTTGAAAAACAGGTCCAGGGAGCTCTGGTGGCCTAGTGACAAGAAGCTGCACTGCAATCTTAGATGTATGCGGTTTGAATCCACCAGATGCTCTGCTGGAGAAGTAGGGGCAATCCACCAGATGCTCTGCTGGAGAAGTAGGGGCAATCTCCTCCTGTACCAGTCAGATCCTATTTGATGATGCACACACAAAATAATAAAATAAAATTAAAACAAGAAAAAGAAAAACAAGTCATGATCAAAAGAATTATCACTTTTTTAGTCTTTAAAAAATTATGATTTTTAAACTCATTGTCATTGAATCAGAACCAACTCTCCATTGGGTTTTCAGAAGCAGTATATCACCCAGAAGAAGACTTCCCATCCCTTTCCCAAGGAGCAGCTGGTCAGTTTGAACCACACACCTTTGGGTTGGCAACACAACTCTCTACTCAGGAGGCCACCAGAACTCCCTGTTATTTCACTTACTTTATTCATTCTAAGTTGAATTTCAAGAGATGAATACATTCCTTCTTTTGAAAATTAATTATAAACAGACCACCACTACATGTACAGTTTTCCTAGAGAGCCACAGCAGTCAAGGATGAAGCACAGGGGGCCCCAGTGATTAGAATCAAATAGATCCTTCTCAGGAAAGCAGAGGAAGGAAATCCAGGTTCTCAAATGGGAGATTGTTGACAGCTTCATCTTGCTTGGTACCACAATCAGCACGCTTGGTACCAGCAGCCAGGAAAACAAAAGATGAATTGCATTAGGAAAATCTTTCGTCACGGACCTTTCCAGAGTATTGAAGAGCAACGATGTCAGTCCTGAGACCATGGTGTGCCTGATCCCAGCCATAGTCTTTGCAATTACTTGCTATTCATAGAGAGCTGGACAGTGACTAAAGATGATAGAAGAAAAATCTCCATCTTTGAGTTGTGGTGCTAGAGAAGAGTATTGAATATACTATGGACTGCTAAGAGAACAAACAGGCCTGTCCTTGAGAGGGTGAAACCAGGCTGCTCCTTGGAGGCAAGGATTCTGAGGCTTCATCTGACATACTTTGGGCATGTTGCCAGGAGGGACCAGTCCTTGGAGAGGGACATCATGCTTGGAAGGGTGGAGGGACAGCACAGGAGAGGAAGACCCTCTATGAGATGGATTGATTCGGTGACTGAGGTAATGGGATTAAGTGTGTTGGAGACAATGAAATTGGCTCTGTATAGAGCAGGGTTACTATGAGTCTCAAGCAATTCAACAACAGCAACAACATAGCTAATATAAACACATAGGAACAGCCATAATAATAGCCAACGTTTAGTGAGTACTTACTACAGACTAAACACTGTTCTAAGAGCTCTGATGCTTCAGTAATTAAGTACCCAGTTGCTGACCTGGAGATTGGCAGTTTGAACCCACCCTGCAGCTCCTTAGGACGAGGTCTTGATAATCGACTTCCACAAATAGTCAAGATAATCCAGTGGAGCAGTTCTCTTCCAACACATGGGGTTATAAGGAGTCGAAAATGGACTCCATAACTTCCAAGTAAAACAACAGGCATTATTCTGCACACTTTCGAATTTATAAACTCCTTTAATCCTCTCTTTATAGGCACTTAAGCTGGGTTCTTTAGAGGTGCATAACGAGTAAAGTACACACGTATGCACAGACACAGAAACATTTCAAGGAAATGGCCCACACAGCTGTAGAAGTTGCCACAATGCTTGGGCCACGTGTCAGACTGCTCTTGGCACACATGGTCACAGGAGCTGACAAAATAGGCAGGTCAGATGGCAGGCTGCTCTCTGAGGAGGAGCTAACAAAATCCCAAAATCTGTGGGTCATACAGCAGACCACTGGCTCACACCCCAAGAACCAGAGGTCAGAGAATAGTATGTTAGATGCACAGTCAAGAGAGACCCTGAGATTTGCCAGTATATCCCTGTGTATTGGATGCAGGCCACACCTTCAAGGAAACTCCATTTCCAACTGATTGCACACATCAGATCACTAAATTATGGTTGATTAAAATCCTCCAGCTTTGGCTTGGTAGCATCACTTTCTGTCCACTAGGCCAACTGAGCATTCTCTACATTTAAGAATAAACTTTTGTGGACCCGCCCGGCATCGCTCGGATGTGGCTCGAGCCGGAGGCGCTCAGGGCCGGAGAAGCCGCGGACCCGGGAGCCGGAGCAGCTCGGAGGCAGTGAATAATAGCTCTTCAAGTCTGCAATAAAAAATGGCCTCCAATAAAACTACATTGCAAAAAATGGGAAAGAAACAGAATGGGAAGAGTAAAAAAGTTGAAGAGGCAGAACCTGAAGAATTTGTGGTAGAAAAAGTGCTGGACCAACCTGTAGTGAATGGGAAGGTCGCCTATTTCCTCAAGTGGAATGGATTTACAGATGCTGACAATACTTGGGAACCTGAAGAAAATCTGTATTGCCCAGAATTGATTGAAGCATTTCTTAATTCTCAAAAAGCTGGTAAAGAAAAAGATGGCACAAAAAGAAATTCATTATTGATAGTGAATCTGATGATAGCAAATCAAAGAAGAAAAGAGATGCCGCTGACAAGCCAAGAGGCTTTGCCAGAGGTCTTGATCCTGAACGAATAATTGGTGTCACAGACAGCAGTGGAGAATTAATGTTTCTCATGAAATTGAAAGATTCAGATGAGGCTGACTTGGTGCTGGCGAAAGAAGCAAACATGAAATGTCCTCAAATTGTAATTGCATTTTATGAAGAGAGACTAACTTGGCATTCTTGTCCAGAAGATGAAGCGCAATAATTGTTTGCATTGATATATATATATATATAAATAAATCTGGGTCTTGGTTTTTTATTTATTAGTGAAGAATAACTACATGCTAATGGAAATCAAGTTTGATATATTTGTTTTGAAGTAGTATTGGGGGAGTTATTTGGGGCTTCTATTGATTAGGTTTTTTGTTGCATCAATAGCACTGGTTACTTTGAACAAATAAAAGCTTTCTGTAGTTGAAAAAAAAAAGAATAAACTTTTGTAAAACAATGAAGAAGAAACCAGATGATGTTCCATCTCTTCAGTATTCACTCAGCCATTCCAATCTTGGCTGTGAAGTCAAAGGAAACACAATCCAGAATCCTGTCAGAATCTGCTCCTCATTCTTAGTTATACCCAGAATTCTGTACCACTTGAAATTAAACTAACTTATTGGAAACAAGAGTAATTCCTTGTCAAAGTCAAGTAAGTGTGGTAAAGCCTTAAAATACCCTGACTTTCAAACTTCTATCAAAAGTTTTGATCTGTGGTACCTCTGAATGCCTGGAAACATTGCTTAGTTCTAAGGTGGATGGATTCAAGTGTAGTCAGGAGAGTAAAATTTGTCTAGAATGGTTTCACTTTTTCTTAACATTTAACAGCCTACCCAGATGTTTTTGGAGACAAAACTAACCCTAAGGGAATATTTTTCATTTTCTGACTAGATGTATTCAGTCCTTGGTCGTTCCTGAAAAAAATGCTATGGCCCTTTCTCCTTCTCTGACCTACCCCATGGATGTCCAATGTTTGTTTTTGTAATTGCATAGTTTCATTTGGGCACAAGCTTAAATTTGACACCAAGGCTGAAACTAACCCAGAGTCTAATGGTTGGATTATTATTAAGCCGTTATTCTTTATTCCTGCGTATTGTCTAAAAGACAGTGGTGAAAATTAGGGATGCAGATGTTATTAGTAACAGTGCAGAGACAAACACAGTTCATGGGGAGATAATTAGCGATTTGTTAGGCTCAGATTAATTTCTGCAGATGTTATGGTGACTGGGACACAGAGTCATTTTCAGTGATCTTACAAAGGAACAAAGGGTAGTTTTATTTATTTTTTTCTTTTGGCCAGCTCATTACGTTAGGATTGGAATCCTTTTGCTAATCTCACTTTATTAGGTATAGAATATTGTGGATGAGTGTGCAGAGTCTGTGTTTGTATCTCGGCTGCACAGATGAATGAATACCTGTGTAGTCTCAGAAAGGTGCTTACTTAACCATTTGACTTCCCTTTCCCTCCCTGTAAGTGAACTGATGGTAACAGGACTGTGTTGAAGATTGAGATAATCTATGAAAGCACTTAGAACCACGCCTGACACATAGTAGGAACTCAGTTAATCATGTCAGTGTGTTCATTCAACAAAGTCAAGCTACCATTTTGCTGGTGCGAGGGGGAGAAACAGACTTTTCCTGTCACCTGTCTGTGCCCAGGAAAGATGCCAAGTTGAATGTGAGTAATGAAGGTGCTTTCCTTAACCACATCCCCCCCACCCCTCCCCAGACTTCATCCTCATGGCCCAGGGCATCCACATGTATGCAGCCAGGATCCAGTGGGGCCTGGTCATGTGCTTCGTGTCTTACTTTGGCACCTTTGCTGTGGAGTTCCGGCATTATCGCTATGAGATCGTTTGCTCCGAGTACCAAGAGAATTTCCTGAGCTTCTCAGAAAGCCTGTCAGAAGCTTCTGAGTATCAGACCGACCAGGTGTAAGGCATCAGCTCCCCTTTTGTTGGTGAGGTGGGTGTGACAGTGGGGGAGGGGCCAGGAGGACACACCCACAGGGCGTGACACATGACCTCACGACACGTTTTCCACAGACTCACTCACACATATCCCTCACATCTGTCCGTGGCCACTTTTGCCAAATGAGCTTTTCAGGGCGAGTTACTTCTTTAATGGAAAAAAGCACAAGCCCTCAGGTGTTGAAGTACACGCTGTTAATACTGAACACATATGCACGACAGAGCAAGAAGCTTGTGCATGATCACGTCTCTGTCCCCTGCTCTTCTCACACTCTTCACGTGTCTCAGACACCGTGTCACCCTGCCGTGGACAAATATCACATGATGATAATGTCAACTCCCAAAGTTGCCTTCAGGTCCAAAGAGCTTGGAACCAGCTTGTTGGAAAGTTTGGAATCTGGCGCTAATACCCTTTGATAACTGGGTAATTGGGTCTCATCAGACTGGAAGGAAACCATACTGAGATACGACATTGTGGAACCTGTGGACAGGTATAGGATCAAAGGAATAACTTTCCCAGAAAAATAAAAAAACCCCACTCCATCATCATTCAGCATCTGGGCTGTCTGACTTCAACGAAAGGCGCACAGGTTACAGACCAAGTGTGAAGCCCACAGCCATGATTTGGGCCTGATCCATGGTGACTGAGAACTATTTCCAAATGTGAATGATTGTAGGGATATGGTCAGCCAAGCATGGAACAGGATGGAGCAGTGAATGTAAGATGTAGTGTTTGCTTACCTAGTATGCCATGTACAGGTTGTTTCTGTTTCAGTTTCGTGGTTTACTGTTTTCCTTTTTCTTTTTTTTTAAGGAACTACCATGGGTCTCTTTAGACCTTGTGGGCAAAGAATATATAGATTAAATGCAAGCGCTGAGCTTACTTTGGGTACAACTATGATTTAAAGAATAGAAAAAAAATAATCACTTTCAGGCTTTATTTGTTGCTTTTATGCTTGAATCTAAGGAAATGTGCAAAATGAGGTACAAAGAAATTTATGTGGGAGTCCTAAAACGAGTTCCTGCAGACCTTTCTAGAAGGTAGCACTTTTCAGAGCATCCTGTGATAAGCCCACATTAAGGAAGAGTTCCTTAAAAATGTTCTCTGATGCTCAGACTTAGTGGTTTTTGGGTTGTTTGGTTTTTTTGTTTTTGTTTTTGTTTTTTGTTTTGTGAATTAAGGGCTTTTCAACTTTGAAATTCCTAGAAAACTAATAAAAGATGACCCTTCCCCAAAACCAAATTAGGGCAGCTGGTCCCCTCCTGCCCAGCACATAGCTTCCACCTGCTGGAGTCAAACACTTAGGAGTCTGTGTTTCTTAAAGAAGAGCAAAATGTCAAGCCCAGGATATGTCAACCCCAGGATGTGGGTCAAGCTGACAGACCCTCCATGCATGCAGATTCAAGAAATCCTTGAATTTACTGGATAGGGGCCTGGGATTTCAATTGTTTTTCAATTTAACCTGCAATCTGAGCTTCCTGAAACAGAGTGGGGGAGGGTCAGTATCTTTGCATTTCTGTGTTTATCTCCCAGCACCCCCCTTCCCAGCACAGTGCCTGGCTGTGCTCGTCTTAGGTGCTCAAGTAATGTCCGTCAAATAGAGATCATCCAATAGGAGGAAGTAGGAGTCTAAAAAATTTAAAGATGGGTGAAAAAAAATGAAGAGGAAAACGACTGCAGTGAATATGGGGATGGAAGGAATCATGCATCAAGGTCAGAAAAGAGAGTAAAACTGTTTGTTAGGAGACTTAAAATGTGAGAAAAAGAATCAAGTGAAGCCAGTTCTCGTGTTAAAAAGGCATTTCACTGTAAATAGTCCAAGGTGACTTTTTTTTTAATTTTGAATACTGTTTTTGTTTTTTTCTTTTTTATACTTTAAAGATTTTATCAAAGAACAAAAGGTTTTCTGTTACTGTACACAATGCAAATTAAACAGCTTTTGATGATGCACTGTACACTTTCTTAAAAAGTCTTATCTGAGAGCACATTTTAGCAAAATCAGGCAAAAAGACATTATTCATTGGGGGTCTTACCACTAAATAAAATTCTTTTATGCAGAAACGTAATTTCCTTGTTTCTTCCACTGGCATGTCTTTCCAAATAATAAAACATGTGTTGAACTCAGTGAGACACTATGTTGATAGTGAACTTGAGGGTTACATCGACAGCTTATAAAGACCAAGATTCTAGACCCTCACTGCAGTTAGGAATCAAAGCATCCACATAGGAAACCGAAATCCAGGAATCTACATTTGTAACACGCATCTCATCAGGATCTAAGACAGATGCCCAGAGAGCAATGTTGGAAATACACCAAATGCAGCTTATGATACTTAAGCTAAGTATCTGAAAGAAAGTTACTCTCCTAGTTGTTGTTGTTAATTGTTGTCGAGACCTGGGCAACTCATAGCAACTCTGAATGAAAGACCTGGACACTTGTATAACTTTCATCCTTTCTCCAGGTTCATAGGGTTTCCGGGGGCAAGCTATTTCATGGATGCCAGTTCTGCTTCCAAGCTTGTGTTAATCGGGGAGCTCCACCAAACACTGTCCACTATGAGTAACCATTACCACATTTGACACATCAGTGTCACAATGTTTAGCATCACAGCAAACACGAGTTTCTTCTCTACAGCAAGTGGACAGACCAGGGCTACTTTTCATAGGATATGATTCTCTGGGGCCAGCAAGGGGGTAGTGACTCAGATCCAGGCTCAAAGAGGTTTCATCTTAACACATTCTCAACTCTTGCTGATGCCAAGAAAGTGAGGCTGACTGCTCATAGAGCTTCAGTTATTAGTGTCACCAAATGATAAATACCACTAAACTGTCACTTTAAAGAAAATCACCCATCTGAGAGTGGCTAAGGAGAGTCTCCCCACCACGTATCCAGAATGAGCTAAGTGAGGCTATTCCCTGGAAAGGACAATCATGCTGTGAAAGAGAGGAAGACTTCCAATGAGATGGATTGACAGTGTGTCTTCAGCGATGGGCTGTTGTGACTCAGAGATGATGAGAATGGTGCATGATAGGGCAAGTTTCTGGTTGGCTGTTCATAGGGTCACTGTGAGCCATACTAAACTAGACAGCATCTAACAACAACATTCAGAACGAGAGGCAGCTCCGGTGGCTTTAATGGTAAGGAGCTGTGCTGCCAACCCAAAGGCACACGATTCAAATCCACCAAATGCTCTGCAGAAGAAAGACAAGCAGTTTCTTTTATGCTACTTACTTTAATTATTTAGCCTCGGAAAATTCACAGGAGGCTCAGCTGTGACTCAGTAAGGACACAAAGGTATATAACAACAACAACCCAAAATGAGAGAAACAAATACTTAGGGAAAGTCTAGTGATGGACACGGAATTTCACTCGGGTGAAATGAATGAATGAAAACCCAGCCTTTCTGTAAACTTCTGTTAAAATCACAAAACAATTTTTTAAAAATTCCAACAGTAACTTTTGTTACTGTTCCTTTGGATTATTGTTAGGTACCATTGAACATGGCTCAGAGCAACCCTATGAACAACAGATCTGAATCTTGTCCTACCTTCATTATCTGATAAATTTGAGCTCTTTGCTGCAGTCACCCTGTCAATCCATCTCCTTAGGGGTCTTCCTCTCTTTCTCTGACTTTCCACCTCTCCAAGTCTGATGTTCTTTTCTGAAGAATAGCTTCTCCTACCATTATGTCCTCTCTGGTTTCAGGCAGCTGGATTCTGGAAGATTGGTAGGTTTTTTGTTTTGATTTGTGTTTTTTCTTAAATTGACAATCAGCTGTGAGTTGTATCATTTTTATTAACAATCAGTTGTGGGCTGGAATCTTCTTGTTTAAACCAATTAGGATGCAGCGGGCAGGCCTTTGTAATTAAAAGTTGCTTGGTGTCTGCCTGAGAGCCTCTTGTTTGAAGTAGATTCTGGAAAGTAGGTCATTTTTAGTTTAATTAACAATCAGATGTCAGCTATTTGGTGTTTTGATTTCATTAACAAAGGTGGGCTGGAAGCCCCTTGTTTAAATCAATTAGGGCCCTGTAGGCAGCCCCAAAAGAATGAACAAATCTGTCTTGGAGAGAGTGCAGCCAAAGTGTTCTTTGGAGGCAAAGATGATGAGGCTTCACCTAACATATTTGGGGCATGTTGCTAGAAGGGGCTTTTTCTTGGAGAGGGAATGATGCTTGGAAAGGTAGAGAGAGGGTCAGCAAAAGAGAGGAAAACCCTTGTCCAGATGGACTGACAGAGTGACTGTCATAGTAGGTTTTTATGTGTCAGGAAGTGTTAGGATGGCACAGAATAGGACAGAGTTCAGATCTGTTGTTCACAGGGTCACAACGGGTCATACTCCACTCAACAGCACCTAACAACAACAACTGACAAGTCCTAAGAAAGTATGAGAGACAAAGTTTTCTTGCCTCCAAGAAACACTGGCTGCACCTTTTCCAAAACATACCTGTTTGTTCTTTTGGCAATCCAGGGGATATACAGTACTCTTCTCCAACACCACAACTCAAAGGCATCAATTTTTCTTGTCATCCTTATTCATTGTCCTGTTTTCAGATGCATAGCAAGTGGCTGAAAAGACTACAGTCTGAATCAGACACACCTTAGTCTTCAAGCTGACATTGCTTTTCAGTATTTTTAAGAGGTCCCTGACAATGGCCTTGCCAGTGCACTACATCTCATTGTCTCCTGACTACTGGTACCAAGTGTGTTGATTATGGATCCAAGTAATATTAAATCATTGACAGTTTCAATCTTTTCTCCATCTGGTAAGGACCTCTGTTTTCTTGATACTGAGATGTATCCCATATTGAAGGCTGTAGTCTTTGATATTCTGCAGCAACCCCTTCAGGTCTTCCTGACTTTAAGCAAGCAAGATTGTGTCATTTGCATAACGTGTTTGGTTGATGAGTCTTCCTCCAACCCTTATGCCACATTCTTCAAAAGCTGGCAACATGAATTATGTTCAGCA